ACGCGCCGCCGAAAATCAAAGTGAATGGGACTCAACTGCAAGTGGTAGAGAACTTCCCGTATCTGGGCAATACCCTCACCCGCAAGACCAAGATCGATGACGAAGTCGCCAACAGGATCTCGAAAGCCAGTCAAGCCTTCGGACGCCTCCGAAGCACAGTTTGGAATCGTCATGGTCTCCAACTGAGCACGAAGCTGAAGATGTACAAGGCCGTCATCCTGCCGACGCTACTGTACGAAGCGAAGACATGGACGGTGTACACGAGACAGGCACGCCGACTGAACCACTTCCACCTCAGCTGTCTCCGCCGCATCCTGAGGCTAAACTGGCAGGATCGAATCCCCGACACGGAAGTACTGGAACAAACGGGAATCCTCAGCATCTACGCCATACTGAAACAAATGCAGCTGCGTTGGAGCGGCCACCTGGTGCGCATGGACGACGAGCGACTACCCAAACGACTCTTCTACGGAGACGTCGCGACGGGTTCTCGTCGTCAAGGAGGCCAAATTCGCCGTTACAAGGATACTCTGAAGTCCTCCCTGAAGCGCCTGCAAATCAACCCGACCAACTGGGAAAAGCTCGCTCGCGATCGTCCGACATGGAGGAGGACAGTGAAGACGGGCGCTGCTATCTTTGAAGCCAACCGAATCGCTGTCGCCAAAGCAAAACGGGAAGCCCGCAAATCACAACCTCGCCCAGTCCGCAACGCCGCCGCACAACCGCTCCCAACGTGTCCTCGATGTCAACGGACATTCCGGGCACTAATCGGACTTGTTGGACATCTCCGAACCAACTGCACCTCTCGAACTGCTCCAGCCATCGTTCCCCCGCCCGCCTCTTCCTCGCCCTCTCTGCCGCCAACTAACTCTGACACTCCGTCTGCAACACCACTTCCATCTTCCTCCTCCTCGTCGTCCTCCTCCCTCTCCACTGCCCCAGCGGCGGCCGTTCAGACTGCTGTCTCACGCATCACAAATAGCAACACACCAACCAAGATCACCTCTCCCACCTCTACCAATACCACTGATGAGGATCAGGACTACACCTGCCCTCACTGCGACCTCACCTTCACTTCACGCATCGGCCTGTTCGGTCACTTGCGAATCCATCGTACAGAGACTGGCGAACCAGTGCCTGGAGCACCAACCTACACCCACCGCACTCGCCTCCACTGCCCACAATGCCCTCGCACCTTCACTCATCGCATGGGTCTATTCGGCCACATGCGCATCCACGAGAGCGGAATTGACCACAATTCCTTTACAGCCACGACATCCAACACATCCACCACGCCCAGACCAATCCTCGCTCCACCGTCACACGCGCCGACCACCAACACCAACACCACTGCTTCCTCTACAGCTGACACCAACTTCGCCGACCTCTCATTCCCACATTGTCCACGCACCTTCACCTCACGCATCGGCCTGGTGGGTCACTTGCGAATCCATCGCACAGAGACTGGCGAACCAGTGCCTGGAGCACCAACATACACCCACCGCACTCGCCTCCACTGCCCACAATGCCCTCGCACCTTCACTCATCGCATGGGTCTATTCGGCCACATGCGCATCCACGAGAGCGGAATTGACCACAATTCCTTTACAGCCACGACATCCAACACATCCACCA